TCTCTCTCTCTCTCTCTCTCTCTCTCCCTGCCTCCTTCCCTCCCTCCCTTCTTTCTGGCTATCATGAAGTAAGTATTTTGCTATACCAGATAATACCACACCCCAAAACAATGGAGCCAACCAAACATGGACTGAAACTTTTGAAATAATGAAATAAACTTTTCATCCTTTAAGTTGATTCTCTCAGGTAGTTTGTCACAGCAATGGAAAGCTGACTAAGACAGCATTACTTATTAAACTCATATTAATTTTAGTGCTTCCTTAAATTCTAACAAATTAGATTAATTGTACATTATTAATATATAATTTTCATAATTCTCCTTTACTTGTTTTTTTTGGAGGGTATGGGGATTGAATCCAGGAGCACTTTACCATTAAGCTACAGCCCAGCCCTTTTAATATTTTTTTTGAAGCAAGGTCTCACTAAGTTTCTTAGGGCCATGATAATTCACTGAGGATGGCCTTGAACTTGTGATTCTCCTACCTTAGCCTCCCAAGTCACTGGGATTATAGGCATGCACCACTAAGCCCTGCTCTCCTCTTTTGAAAATAGAAACATTTATCTGTCCATACCTATAAATCTGGCAGCTCTCTTATAAGTCAGTAACTTCTGAAAGTTCTTGAAAATATATTTGTAAGTTACAAATCATCTGAACCTGGGAGTTTAAACTCATTTAATGTGGTTAAACATTATTCTTCTACATTCTTGCCCCCTACATTGTTTGATTTTTTTATATTATTTTAAAAGTTTATTCTACATTGGTTAAAAAGAAAAAAGTAGATAAAAATATTTCTGTCTTTTCTTTGTCACTTGGTACATTAAACTATCTTGCACAAAGAAGGGATTTAATACTATATCAGTTAATTTCTTGATCTGAACATATCATATTTGAAATCTCCCCTCCTACTTCAATTCTTTTGCAGTGGCTGTTTCCTGAAATTTCAATGCTCTTCACCCCCTATATTTTCATGTCTCCTTCCTTGCATTATTCAAGTTTGAGGTCAAATATTATCTCCCTAGAGAGGCATTTGTAACCCTTGAAACTAAAATAATGACCTTTGGTCACTACCACAATTCTTTTTCCTTTTAACTTGTTTTTCTTTCTTTCACATTTACAACTATGACCACCTGGCACAATATATAGATATAGATATATAGAGTTAGATTTTTTTTAATTGTGTTCATCTTTTCCACTGGGATGTAACAGTCATTATGGCAGGTATACATTGTTATCAAGTTCATAACTATTCAGCACCAAGGACCGCACTGACACATAATAGATACTCAACATCTATCTGTTCAATGAATAAGTTTTAAAACATATTATATGTTACCTTAAGCTCATTCAACTCTTTAGAATTCCTGAAACATTTAAAATTTTTGGTCACTTTTCAGCATTTACCCTAGTTACACTGCATTTTTTCTGCATTTGTACCAATAATAGAGATTGAGTGCTTAGAAATATACATAATGTCATCAAATAGCCATTTATCTATTCCTCCAAGGAATAACAAAACTAGTCGCTTTATTTATTTACTACGTGATTCTGTATACTCATTTATTGTTCATACCCTTACCTGATTCTAGAAATTTTGGAAGTATCTTACAATAATCCTCTTGCCTAAGGGTAAGAGCCAAGTATTATAAAGGACAGGGCAAACAAAGGAAGGTACAATTATGCCAGAAATCTATGCTAACCAAAGTTGCTACAATAGAATGCCTGGTACAGATTAACACCAAAATAACATAATGACTACATACTTTTCCTTAAAAAAAAAAAAAAAACAGAAAAAAACTTACAAAGTTATTAGGAAAGACTTTCTCTGTCTTTAAAAACTAAAAATCACATTCTGTAAATGCTATGTTAATCAATTTGATAGAAAAGAGCAGAAACACTGAACTCTGAAAAAGCTGTTGAATTTTGATATAAATCTTCAAGACCATTTTTTGTTTTTAGTAGTAGGGATTGAACTCAGGGGTACTTTACTACTGTGCTATATCCTTAGTTCTTATTAATTCTTTTTATTTTTTATTTAGAGACAGTATCTCGCTAAGTTGCTTAAGACCTCACTAAATTACTAAGGCTGCCCTTGAACTTGTCATCCTCTTGCCTCAGATCCCCAAGTCATTGAGATTATAGGAGTACACCATCACGCCTGGTTTCAAGATCGATTTTTGAAATTAAATGCAAGTTCTTTCATTTGTTTTATTTTAAACTAAATGGTTTTGTGTACGTGTGTGTGTTTTGGATATTATAAAATTAGATTTTGGGGGGTGGTACTGGGGATTGAACCCAGAGGCACTTAACCACTGAGCCACATCCTCAGCCCTTTTTTTTTTTTTTTGGTGCTGGGGTTAAACCCAAGGCTTCATATCATGCAAGCTTAGCCTATCTCTGCTCCTGAGCTATACTAGTAGCCCCACAAATCTCCCTGCACCCCAGTTCCAATCTAGACGTGTATGGTGGGCACCAAAGCATATTCTCTTTTCATTACTTCAACATATTTTTTTTAAGAGACAGAGAGAGAGAGAATTTTTTTTTTAATATTTATTTTAGTTTTCGGCGGACACAACATCTTTGTTGGTATGTGGTGCTGAGGATTGAACCCGGGCCGCACACATGCCAGGCGAGTGTGCTACCGCTTGAGCCCCATCCCCAGCCCTTTTATTCTTTATTTTGAAACAGGTTCTAGTTGCTTTAGGGCCTTGTTAAGTTACTGAGGCTGGCTTTGAACTTGAGATTCTCTTGCCTCAGCCCTCTGAGTTGCTGGGATTATAAATAAGTGTCACCATACCTGGCCTAGATTGATTTTTAAGAATAATTTTATACATCAAGCATTATGTTCCTCAATGTATTTACTTGACTCCAGTTCAAATATTTATTAGGTATCTACAATGTGCCAGGAACTGTAGTCAGTACTTACTTACCAGGAACTGTACTTCAGTACATGTGAAGTACTTATTTTTCCATTAAAAATGCAACTTAGCAAGGCATTAAGCAACTTTGGAATAAACTGTCTCAAAAAAAGGGCTGGGAATGTGGCTCAGTGGTAGAATGCCCCTGTGTTAAGTCTCTAGTAACCCCCCCACACACAAAATATATATATAAAACTCATTAATTCACATATTGTCTGACTCTAAGAATAGAGCATTATCTGGTATATGTTTAATTTAATAGAAGTAAATGAGATGAGTGGTTTTTTGCTACATCTAGAAAATGCTTCTTTTTTGTTGGCTTGTTTGTTTTGTCAATTGGTAAGTTTTACTTAGAATGTTAGAGTATAGTTGATTAATTACTGGCCAACAGATAACTGACTTAACTCTTCCAGTGATTCAACTCTTTCAGTGACCCTGAATTTGAGTCTGTACTATGATCTTTTAAAAACATTTAAATAAAGTTAGCTACTAGTATAAAAACAATCAGTTTAAGCTATTTCTACATGATAATGAAATGAACTAGCTGAAAATGAACTGATATTTAAAAACACCCAGATGGTTCAATAGTGCAAATTATTGTGTGCTGGGTTCCCCAGAAACCAGACCCTGAGACAAAAGTCAGTGTGCCAGAGGTTTATCCTGTAGAAGCATGGATAATTAAGCAGGAGTGGGCAGAAGCTGAATTGTGATGTGGACCCGGTAACAGACTCAGCTGATCCCATGTGGATCTCCAACACTGACCCTGCCTTTGAGTCAAGATGGCCATGCCTTCATACTATCATAGCAACCAGTCACTGAAGATGATCTTCCCTGGATATGGCCATGACCTAAGGTGTAGTAGACTCTGAGGTTGACACAATCCATGAAAGGAGCAAGACATTGAAGACTGTTTGCTAACAACATTTCCGGCTGCTGGGCAATGAATCCTTCATTGAAGAGAATCTATTGAGTGCATCACAGTGTCCACCAATAATCCATATTTATTGTCTCTTCTTACTACATATACCCTGAAATATCAAATAGCAAGGATTTGTTCTAATGAAAAAACATTCAGTCAGTTATTACAAAGCTTGGTCTACATCTCCATATAGAAACATTCTCCTTTTCAATTTCTCCATCCATTAACAAATGGATCAGATTATTTATGTGTCTCAACAAATGACCTTTAATTGACAAAAGCAAAGAGAGAGAGAGAGAGAGAGAGAGAGAGAATTTGTCACAAAAAAATATTTCTGTTAAGTCTCAGGGTCATTAGATATTCTGTACACTCTCCTGTGCTTTTTACACAACAGATAATTCAAGAACTTCGTCTTTTTGTTTTAATATTTATGTTTTAGTTGTAGTTGGACACAATACCTTTATTTTAATGTGGTGCTGAGGATCGAACCTAGGGCCTCATACGTTCTAGAATGAGTGCTCTACCACTGAGCCACAATGCCAGCCCCAAGAACTGCTCTTCTGAAAGATTATTCTGAACCACTTAAGTGAGCTAAATTAAAAAAAAAATTATAGTGATTTCATGATATTCTTATCAGGGCATAAAAATGATTTGGCAGAAAAATTCAACAGAAGAGTTTGAAACATTTTTTTTCTTTTATTAAACAAAGGATCAAATAACTAGCATACTCCAGAATATATTGAATATTTCTGAAATTTAAGGTTTGAAGATAGTGCTCTTTTTTAATCCAAATCATTATAAAATACAATACTGATTGAAATAAATTGATTGCATTATTTACTAAATACTTTTGGAAGGCACAAGTCTTGCTGTTATTACTCTCTCCATTCCTTATCTCCCATCCCTTGTTCTCTCTCAATTATTTTCTGAAAACTGAGTCCAAAAAAATCTTAAGGTCAGCCATTAAAAATAAACATAATTTAAAAAGTTGTCAGAAGAAGCAACAATAAAAAAAGAGGACACTATTTCTATCATTTTCAGTTATTGCAAACCAAGCTATTTGGTGACAATCTTCTTGAAGGCAGGAGTTACTGTACATTCGTAATCATTTGACTTAATTAACTATTTTAATTTGTGCTCATTAATTTGATTAACATTAAGATGTAAAATGTGGGAGCTGGGGTTGCGGCTCAGTGGTAGAGCGCTTGCCTAGCATGTGTGAGACACTGGGTTCGATTCTCAGCACTGAATATAAATAAATAAAGTTCCATTGACAACCAAAAAGTATTTTTAAAAAAAGATGTAAAATGTGAAAGAAATCCTATTTCTCTTCAATTCAGCATATATTTTCTGAATACTTTAGCTATACTTTTAGAATCTCAATATACTAAGGGCTTACAAGTAGAAATCTAGTTGGAACTTGGGAGTATTAAAGCTGAATTTGTTTAACTTAAACTTTATGTTTATTTAGGAGGTTCTGAAAGTTAATGGAGAAGGTGGGGAGGTAGCTTAATGGCTCAATACAGATGCTGCTTGCCTTGTATAAGCTGATATGTTGGGCACTGCTGGTATTTAACATAATTTATTTAACATAATTTAATAGACACAAGTTCTCTAAGAAATTCACATTGTAGGGAGTGTTAGTGAATACGAAAATACAATTACATAAGCATAAAAGTTAAAGAGGTGAGAAAGAAGGATTATATCTGTTTAAAAGAATTGGGATTTGTATCAGCAAAATGGCAATAGAGATAAACCCTGAAGTATAAACTTGAAATAGCATGAATAGCATATGTCTGTGTTTATGTATGGTATTATCTACACATGCAAAAATGAAGTGAATTTAGATGACAGTTCAGAGCAAAGAAGCAATGACAACCTTCTAGAAATTAATCAAAAGTTTTTAGGGTTGAATTTGAATATCCACCTTCATGCTTGATTTTATATTTAAATATGTAGAAATGGTTTTATGCATCCTAAATAGTAATTCTGTAATTATTAGAAATTACTAGAATTAGTAGAAATAGCCATCACCGATGCTTCAAAATTCTGATCCATAGCTGATAATGTTGTCAAACATCTTTTGCAAGTTAAGTCAAGAGAGTTTGAAAAATGACAGATTTTATATGAAGATTTCCTGTCTGATACAATACAAGGGTAAAACTAAACTGAATTCAATTTTATACCTAGGCCAAAAGTTGACTGCAGCAGGAATTTTGAAGAGCCACAACGATGTGCCAGTGAATAATGAGTAGTACCTACTGTGGCAATTCTTCAGCTAAGATGAGCGTCAATGAAGTTTCAGCTTTCTCATTGACTCTGGAGCAAAAAACTGGCTTTGCTTTTGTTGGGATTCTGTGTATCTTCTTGGGACTTCTAATTATCAGATGCTTCAAAATTCTCTTAGACCCATATAGTAGCATGCCTTCTTCTACATGGGAAGATGAAGTTGAAGAGTTTGATAAAGGGACGTTTGAATATGCACTCGCCTGATTTCCAGCTTTATGCTTCTCATGGTTGTGCTATTGGGACATGTGGTGGCTACATTTGGGTATGCTGGGTAGGCTGGAGAGAAACTCATTACATTCATTGAATTCAATAAAGATCTATCATTGATTTATCCACTGTGCCATGTAGATGATAAACCACTCTTAGGATTACTACTTTTCTCTGTCCCTGCATCAAGGTATCTAATGAATAGAACAAAATATGGCTCCACTTATAAACCATTTTTATTTTTACCTTGAACATTTGCCTTGAATTTCTGTTCTCTTCCATATGCCCATGAACTAGCTGGAGGCACCCTCCTTCCTCTTCTCTGCAAAGTCTAAATACCCTCTTCACATTCCAGATCCAGACCTCTAATTTAACTTTAGAGAATCAGATCATAAACATAAGGGACAGTCAAAAGAATAAACAGAATATGGTTTTTTAAAAATGATAACCATCAGTCAAAAAGGTTCATAGGTAAAACAAAACAAAACAAAACAAAACAAAACAAAAAAACTAACACCTAAATCCCAAAAGTTTCCACAGGCCCTAAAATCTCCCCAAACTTACAGAGCCCTGGCCCTTCTAGTCTTATTATAGAATCTTTTGCAATAAAGTTCTATAGCTTAGAATCAAAGTGGTCCTGCTTCATACTGATATTCTCTCCACTACCCCTTAGATAAATCACATTTAAGAGGGAGTTTCCAGCAGGATCAGAGCATTCTGCCAGAATAAGAAGTCCACTCTCAACCCTGCCACTATTAGAGCTATGCAACCTTGAGCAAGTCATCTTATCTCCGTGTTCTTGGTGGGGAAGCTATCCAGAATATTGTTAACATTCTTAGTGCCCTAAACATGTTACAAATATGAAGTGAAATTCAGAGGTCTAAGAATGAGGATTTAAGAGGTCATGAAAGTTTTTCAGATTAGAAACCTAAAGTCAGAGACTTGGATTCTAATGTTGGCCCCCAAACTAGCTTTTTGGTCTAGAAAGTTACCTAAGGGTAACTTATTTTTTGCATCTGCAAAACAAGAGTAAGAAGCCCTTGGGCTGGGGGATGTGGCTCAAGCGGTAGCGCACTCGCCTGGCATGCGTGCGGCCCGGGTTTGATCCTCAGCACCACATACCAACAAAGATGTTGTGTCTGCTGATAACTAAAAAATAAATATTTAAAAAAAAAGATTAAGAAACCCATCCTGCATATCCTGCAAGAATATTAAGAAGACCAATGAGGTATATTTACTGTGAAAGCACTTTGAAAAACATGAAACACTGTTTCAACATACCTTACTATCACTATTTAGTATCTTCATGAGTAGTAGTGTAAGGGTCCGGCTAAACGTCGGAGAAAGAGACCACACAAGAGACTGGCTTCATGCAATTGGCAGGAAGGAGTTTGTTGAACCAGCATGCTGGGGCTCAAGGCTCACTCAGGAAGGGAGAGCAGCCCAGAGCCCAGAGCAGAGGTCAAGCAGAGCTTAAGTACACTTTTTGGGGAGGGCGGGGGGAGGGGCTTTGCATACATCAGAACAAATCATTATGAGGCTCGGGAAAATTGAACAACAACTCTGAGACATGATTAGTACATTCATTGGCGGGAACAGGCTGGGCAGGAGTGATTGGTCACTTCTAAGCAGGGTACACATTCAAACTGATTGGTTTTAGGGCCTAGAGGACTATGTGAGGAGCTACTCAGAGCCCTTAGCTATTAAACAGCCAGAGGATCAGGAGGAATATTTACTGGGCAGTCCAGGTATTGTCCTAACAGAGGATTTTAACAATACTTGGTCCTTTACTTTTTAACTCAGGCCCTGCAGCTTGGAAACTTTACAATGCCCGGTCTCTTACACTTTAACTCAGGCTTTGCGGCTTAGAATCAGCTTAGAAATTTTTTCTTTACAGTAGCAGTAATAAAAGTGCTCAAACCCAAAGAAGAAATGACTTATTCAACCTCTCCACTATTCATTCTCTTCATTTGAAAAATGAAAAGATAGAATGACATCATTCTAAGTCTTTCCAATTACAAAATTTTGACTCTCTGTGATCACTGAATGAAGATAAATAATAAAAAACATTGGTGTCTCCTGAGACCACAGAACAGCCAAACATATCAAGAAGGAATAAGACTAACATTTACTGAAAACTAGCACTAATTTAGGTGCTTTCCATTAATTTGATACTCTTCTCAATCCTTTGGGACTATTATTTTTATTTTACTTTTAATCTCAGTTTCACAGAAGAGGAACTAAAGTCAATGTAATGTAATGCCCTAAGGTCATCAAGTAATGTCCCAAGGTAATCAAGCTGGGGGATGAATGTGTTTAGAATTGAACTTGGGTAGACCAACATTGACAGTTTTCCCTGATACTGTCTTTTGCATCTAGCGTACATGAGAATTTCTCAGATCTATGGCACTCAAAACCAGCTGTCTCAGTGAGGTTCCCTGATTCTCCCCATCCCCTGGTAGATTTAGAACACATTTGTGATGGCTGTGGCTCTTCTGGACCAAACCCTCACCTCAAGAAGTCTCTTTGTACCCAGTTGATACAAGATTGTAAACACAAAACACATGATAGCCAGGTGGTAATTTAACCCAAGAACACTTCACTGAGTAAAGCTCAGCTGAACTTGCTGAAAACTGTATGTATCAAGACATTAGCATCTTCTTTGCAAAGTCTAAATACAAATACATTAGTAGCCAAAATGTAGAGTTTTGTGAGTGTTTTACCTTAGTAGCCAAAACGTAGAGTTTTGTAAGTGTTTTCCCAGGGAGAAACAAACACAATAGTCGCCCTGGGAAAACACTCACAAAACTCTACATTTTGGCTACTAAGGTATAACAAAGCCAGATATTCGGTTTAAAAAAGACTCCCCCACTCCCCAAAAATGCAAGAAAACTTCATGCAGCCTCTGCATTATTCCTGAAATTTCAACTCCCACAAACTTATCAGATAACAACTTCACCACAATATTAGTTTCAACCCACTAAAGAAAACATTTATTAACCAAAAGTGTCTTTACCCATAGCTTTTATTCATAGCCTGTTGTGTGCATTTTATCAGCAGGAATACAAGAGGGGTTATCATCTGTATTTTCAGAGACAATACTAAGAATAATACAATAAATATAAAATTCTGGTTGTAGTATGGATACTTCGTGGAAATTTCACAAAATGCTAATCCTTTAAGGAATAGATGTCCAGTGTCAGACCTGGATCAGCGCCTATTACTTCTTCCCTGGATCTTTGTCAGGCAGAACAGGAGGGAAGATAGAAGTACATATCTCCAGATGGCTGGCTTCTGCTACTTTCCTGTCAGAAAGGTCTAAATCAGGTTCACCTTTCAAGGTTGGTTTTATGGATGGCATAATTTCATCCATATCCCCCCAAACTGTCTCCCATCTGCTCTTGAAGGTCTGAATCCCCTTAATAAAGAACAAAGACATTCATTTCACTGTTAGAGATAAAAACCTTAGAATGAAAATGTCTGGTTGATGTAATACCAAGACTAAAACTAATTCACACTACACTGTAGTCAGGCAACAGGGAGAAAAAAGAATTTGACTGGGATTGGAGACACACACCACTTTTGATAGAGGAAAAAAAGTTTAAAAACAAATAGGCACATGGGGTGCCATGGCACACATCTGTAATCCCAGCAGATCAGGAGGCTGAGGTGAGAGGATCGCAAGTTCAAAGCCAGCCTTGGCAATTTAGCAATATCCTAAGCAACTTAGTGAGGGCCTATCTCAAAATAAAAAATAAAAAGGGATGGGATGTGGCTCAGTGGTTAAGCATCCCTGGTTTAAATCCCTGGTACCAAAAGAAAAAAGAAATAGATGGTTTATGAAAGTGAATGGGAATTGGATGATGTCAGTTTCTGTCCTGGTCTAATAAATAGAATTTGTTTTGGGACCCAGCTCTGTCCTAGTAGTACCTAGTCCTGATCTAAACAACCTACCCCATCTAGCCGAATCTGAAATATGACTAATTTCTACACCTGAAAGCTTTATTCATTGAACTCAGAACCTTTTGTTGAACAGATAAATGACTGGTATTAGTGGCCTTTAAGAAAATATTGAGTTATATGTTCATTCTTGTAATTCTATCTCTATTTCTGATATAGCCTCATTGTGTTAGCCTGACTGATTAACATGGCATTTACCTGACTAAGAGAATCCAAGGGGTTTTACTTAGGTATCTCCAGGCCGTTTCTCTATTTCTTTTTACCAATTTACCTTTCCCATTATTCTCATAGGCATAATACCTATCCTGACTTCTAATGATTAACCTCAGAATTTCAGATATGACTAAGTGAACCACAGCCAAGTATAAATATTGCTAAAATAGCAAAACAAGGACTATGTACTGTTTTAAACCCTAACACAAATATACTCATTTAATCCTCATAATGACTCCTTAGGGTAGGTACCATTATTATTCACATCTACATTTGCAGATGAAAAAAATTAAAGTGCAGAAAGATTCACTTCCTTGAGTTCACACAGATAGGAAGTAGCAGGGCCAGAGTATAAGAACATTCTAACTCCAGAGTTGACTCTTAACCATAATACTACACTATAACCAAACTATCCAGGCAACTGGAAATAACTTGGATAGTTTCATATAAGACACAAGGAGGACTCGTTCAATCATATTTGCTTGAAGACCAATAACAGAATCTGAAGAAGAGCCTTTTGTGTTGTCTTAATAATCACCAACCCACAGATTTGAGTAAAACCTTCTCCTCAACAAAATTAAAAAACCAAGTTTGATAAAATGTTTTCCCAGGTGGAGACAAAATGGCTATTTAGTAGTGCCACTGGGAATGTACCCACAGCTCTAGTTCTGCTTCAAAATTTTTTCCACTAGATAGAAATACTTTGGCAAATAAGAATCAAAGTAAGATTTACTATATGTAAGACAAAATAATTTCAAATAACATTTTCTAGTTACAAAATATAGGAATTACCTCTGGAGGGCTAACAATAAGAGGTCACTAGGACTCATCGTTAAAAAACCATGAGACTCAATTAATCTAGTGCCAAACAATTGAAGCAATAGTTTTTGAAGGATTGCTGTTGAGCAATCTAATTCTCCTTATGAATTAAAGAAACTTTATTTTATATCC